GCATTGATGCCTATACGCGCTCTTTTTCTCTCTGTTTGTTGGATTTTTGTGTAGTTTTTATCAGCACCGCACAGTGTTACCTGTTTAATAAAAAGTTACGATTACATGCCTCTGTCGTGGCCAGGGGAGCCTAGTTCATAAATTCAGACGCGATTTCAGGAGCACGACAATTACCTGTATGTGATCTCCAGCTAACTATGCCTTTTCTGAAGTGTTGAGAAAGTGATAACGGTGTCATGACTTCCGCCACGACCTCAGTAAGGTCGCTCCACCGTTAAACTGGGAGGAAGCCGCGCCGCTACACATCACTCAAAGTTCGCGCCCTCTGCACGAACTGTTTTAGCTTACTCTAGTAGCAGCCTAGCGAGCGCCGGCGCCCGCTACTGTTGTTCCATCGCTACGGCGTCGCCGTGGCCACGTCCGATGCCACAGCCCTTCGCATCCCCCCACGATATGTCACTCACGGATTCTATCACTGTCGAATTGCTTATACCATCGTGCTCTGGCAGCCCAGCGACCGGATATATATTCCTCTACTATCTCTACATTCAACACCGATTCATGTTCAACATCGATATTCAACAATATTCCACATATGATATTCAACATCAACAACGCGCTGCCAATCAATACGGAACCGCGTCGCAGACGCACGCGCCGGATAGGCCGGAGGAAGTCTAGGCCCTCGTCAATCATAGCCGCGTCTCAGCAGGCACTTTACTACTCGGGCATTCTCAGCGCACACCATCTCTTCTTCCCCTCACGGGGTGCACCGGGCACCCGGAATCCCGGATTTTCTTGTTGGCTCTCGTACACCGATGCATACACGCCGACGAGCGACTTGAGTGTTCACGACAAACGGTTCGAATCCCGTGCCGTGTCACCACCATTCTTCAACCCCCCCCCCTACCTATTATCATAGCCGTCCAACACTTTGTTGCTCAACCACGAAGAATGTTTTCAGTTGAACGCAATACAACCACACAAATGTTACGATCAGGTATTTCCTGTAAACAGCGCTCCTACTTATGGAGGTATTTATGTCTGCGAAAAAGGGCAGCGACAGCGCACATGCGCCGAGTTGCACTGAAAATATTTGTTGAGGTTGCTACACGGAGTAACTAGGAGCAACTGAACATACAAAAGGCAAAACATTTCTTAGTAAATATTGAGCTGTCCTTTAAGTATTTCAGGCGGGTGCATCCTTTACTATGAAATTATACAAGTAGTGTAGAGCAGACTATTCTCTAATGCAGCGAAATATACATAGTATTTCCCCAGGAAAATATGCTCACTGGTACAAATGATTAGGATAGTGACTGGGCCGCTACGGCTGAGTTTGACTGCTCAAACCTGTACATTCGGCCGCCGCCTTCCCACTGAACCTGCATTCCTGCTGAAGGTCCAATATTTGGTCAGATTACACTTGTAAGACACTCTTCACGCATTATAGGATTACAGTAATATGCGAACAGTTGACCGAATCCTTATTCGTTTTTAGGTCATTTATTCCATAGGCAGCAAAATCCTAGCGCCTGACCGTGCGCAGGGCGTAAGTCATTGAGAGCGTGGTGGATTCGAGATGTAGCGGGATAGGATGGTCCGATGCTGAAAGCTGAGCTCCATGCAGCGAAATCCTTTCGCCCAACGACTACCGAACAGCGACAAAACCGAGGTAGAATTCCAGCTCTGGCAGGGTCAGGTCAGCTGATGTCGATAATCGAGCTCCATGCAGCTAAATCCTGCCGTCGGACAACTGAGCATGATCTTCTTGCATGCTCCATCTCAATGACCATTCCATCCCCTTTTACGTCCTGGCGCCATAGCTCTCCCCGCAATGAGCGAAAATCATCAGAGCGTTAACCTCGCTTTCAGAAAGCCAGAAAGCTGCCCCCCCCCCCTACACGATCTGAAAATAATGTGGCCACCTACATCCTTGCTGATCTATACAGTATATATAGGCGCCGCTAAGTTGTGCTGAAAACTGTTTGTTAGCTTGATGTCATCCCAATGCAGAGCACATGCGCCTCGGAAAACAATTGTGGAACGGATCTCGTCGGGGCCGTCCAGGGCTTCCATTGTGTCTCCGAATAATTATTTGCTACCGGAGCCTTCTGATCGTGTGAGAATAAAGGCCTTCACTTATACAAGAATGGACCTCCATTAACCTCTTATAGCGCCAGAACATCTTCAAGACATCCACGTTCTGAAATAAACTTGCGTCGCGCGTGAAATAAAGTCAGATACATAAGGGTATTCCAGAAAGTTCTGAATAGCGCACATCATTCTCGTTATTTTAATCCCTTCTTATTCTGCATGTTAAAGGCAGCGCCCGCGTTCAATGTGATGAGTTATGGGGCTCAGACAGTAACAACAAGGTAGCAAGTATCATGGCCGTGAAATAAAGAAGCCCAAAAAAATCATCGGATATATATAGCACCCCACTCCGAGCTGAGCTTATACATGTTTGAGGCGAAGAGGAAGGCGCGGCCGCACGAGTTCTCACTTGTTGGTATCAGCTGTTTTCCCTTATCACCTCACTCTCACCATTCAAAGCGAGAGAGTCGGTTGCGGAACAACCGCACCATCATGGCAAAACAATTAGCAAAGAAGTATGAGGCGTAGTGCGTTGCCAGGTGCGGCGTGTGGCCGACTCTTCGCAAGCGGCGTAGCCTGTCTATGGCCATTTCTTGACTGCCCGAAAAAACTTAGCACTTACCAACCGATCCTCATAAGGTGGGCTACGATTTCCAGAGAGGGCGTGGGAACAACAAATGAACACGGGCGCTGCCTTTAAGTATGAAGGTGCTGCGATGCTTGAGACACGAGAGGAGACAGAAAACCCTTGCTCCTTCCTCCCTGGTGCGCTTCTTCTACCTAAGCGGTCCACAACAGCTATGTACAATATTGATCCCGGAATACGATGAGGCGTATGACGCGGTGCAGATCACAGTGCAGCCAGGGTGCTCTTTTCCACCAGTGATGCCATCCAGAGCCCGAACAGCTGGTGGAGAATCTGATCTGGCTGCGCTCCAAGCCAGATTCCATCACACGCCCTATCGTTTGCAGGATCATGACTGTCCCCTTGAGTGATATATTTCATACAATACAGTACAGTGGTTCCCCCTCTCTCTGTCCCCTCCCATAAGATCAGGGCGGAATCAGTGTATCTGTTTGTATATGTATGCAGTTCTCCATGCTTCTTCAGAAGTTCATGAAATTTATTTACATGATAAATCTAAGCATAAATTGAACGAACATTTGAAATTAAACGATATTTGCATTAAAACACATAGTTCAATTTGACCACTGAGATGGTCAATAAATGTTAAGGCAACTCTCATAATCCCGTTCGAAATCCACCTAACATTATCATTGTAAGGAATCCGTATAACATATAGATTTTCGTACTTCGTACGAAGCTATCAGTACAATGTTATCAACGATACTCGACTAGAAAACGGAAGAGGAAGGTATTCTTGAAACAATGCATATGAACAGTGAACATAATGATGTGTACGTGGACGAAGGGTTACCCGAACGGGGTTAGAAGGAGAAGGAAAGCTGTTTGATGAAAACCATGTGCAATGTCCATTCTCAATGGGTTTTCATTGTAATGTCTTTGTGCGGACACCCACGAAAAGCCCCAGAACAACTTGGTGCTACCATAGTGGGGGCCCCCATTTTCTGATAAGGTATGTCAGACAGTGTGGTTCGGGACATAACGTCCCGGGTATGAGCAGGCGGTAACCCAGGCGAGGCACGTCGTACGCAGCGAGGGGGGTGCATTTGGTAGTTGGAGGAAGGGGATGGGGGGAGAGTCGTGTTTGCCTTCTAGAATCGGTTGGTGACTTTTCCTGGGTTTTTTGTTCTATGTGCGTTATATACTCCCCTCCCTTGCACGCTCGCCAGTTTTACGGGGTAAAGTGAGAACTGTCGGAAAGAAACTCTGGAAAAGTGGTAGAAATCTAGGAAGATGGTAGGTAGGATGGGAGAGGGGAAGCAAGGTTCTGTTACTCAGAGCGCAAAGATTTCGACGGTCAATGGGGGGGGGTATCAGCTTTGGCGAAAATTCGCCGATGACAAGTATCCTTCGCGATGAATCTAGTGCTTGTTCGCCGCAAAGTTCCTTCTTTCCGTGCGCCGACACAGCACCAGCAGTCGGCGACGAAGAAGCAGCCACGCACAGGCAGCGCCCTGGCTTCAAGCAATTTTTTTGCTGACTAATGACCCTTTACCGAACTTTCTACTTCAAATAACGTCATTCCACAACAAACTGGACTGTCTTCTCACTTACTGTTGGAGGGTTCACCTGCTATGAGCGAGGGGGATTCGAGGGGCAGATGGTCAAGACATCTCCACTCCACATTCGGGAATGTTGTTCTACCTAGCCTCAAGGAGGCTCTAGGGGCTTGGTCACTGAAAATGCCCGGGCGTGTCTGGGGATTACGTCTGGCTACCGCCGATACGTTTTCCACCAGTTGCTGCCACATGCTCTCTTCAGCGGTTGGTGGATAACTTGCCGGCTCCGCTAGAACCCAGCGCACCTTACTATGCCCCAAACATCTTTCGGCAAAAACCAAGACCGTAATTTAGATGCAATGGACGGACAGAGCCAAAATCAGCAAAAAATTCCATTGGCCAAAAAACGCTCTCGGGACTCATTCCCACGAGGACCGGCATTGCCCTGCGTCACTATGCCGCCACGGCAGTCCCGAGATGGTCGAGCTGTCTGATTTAGATTTGTAAACCGCGCACAAAGACTGTCTTCAACGAGATAGACCGCTATTGAGTGAGATAGTCACTCCCAGTTCAGGCATTCGCACATAGTTTAAAGAGAAATCTTGTGCTGATGGCCAGTACTTACTAAAATGGAAGCGGTGATCAGAAGCACATATGAGAAGGCGAAAGCACGGCTACAACTTAAGCGACTCAATCATCAAATAACCGCGGCAGTTTTACGCTGTACAACCTGCTACAGATATCGCCGATTCTTCAATTTACAGTCGGGCACTATTAAATGCTACCGAAGCGCAGAGTTGTTGCCGGTCCATGTTACACCTAACCACAGCGCTGACAATTTTCGGCCATCCATTGACGTCGTCGTGTACAGTAATTCTGTGCACGCCAAAATGCACATGAGAGATGTCGGTCGTGACAACCTGAAATCGGTCCGTTAGCTGCTAGTAGTAGCGTTTGCTTCCCTAGCGACTTAAACGACACATTTCCTGCGATGCCTACACTGATGCCTGTAGGGCATCTCCTGTCGTCTTTCGGGCGGACTGGACTACAGTTACGAGCTTAAACAGCAAAACAAGGGGAACATGGAAAGCAAATACGTTCAATCAACCATAGGTTTTCCCCGCCATCGGCGCGAGGTCAGTGGATAAGACTTGGCGGTGCCGTCGGAGACTCGAATGACTTTATTTTTGATATGCGAGAAGGATGCTAGCAATAAAAGTTATGTATCTACCAGTAGGCGGAAGGGTGGTGTCAGTGACAAGTGGCCGCGCTTGTCCACTCGCCCGCAGGCGCCGCGTTCAAATCCCGTGAACCCGCCAGGCCAAGCCCAGCCTTCTTATCCTCCGGGGCGGTACTTGGTACCGTCTGTCTTGGGGATAAAAACATGACTAGATTCAGTACCAGATTTCTGTATGAGGACAAGAGCACCGACTCTGACATTTCGGGCTGTGCCACCGGTTAACGTGTCATTGTATAGGCCACATCGCATTCATAAGCCCACTACGATTCTGAATGGAAGTAGAATGCGTGCCGCATCCCACAAAGGGATTGATCAACGGCGAAGACTTTATCCTTTATCCTTTATCCTCACCCAGTTGACCACGGCGCAAACGGAATGGAGAGGGCTACGGTCGGGCTCCAGCAGCAGCCCCTGCCGTTCCCAAGGGCAAATTTCGTACAGAGGTGGTAGAAAGTGAGCTGCGGACCTACTCGTTTTTCTCGGGGAAGGATTTTTTTCGCCAGATAATCGCGGAATGTGTCTTCAATGCGTCAGAACTCACCAGGTCGGCTATCCGTAGGGTTGTTGCAGAGACGGCAGCTCCTCTTACAGTATCGGGTCATGTAGGCAAGGTTCAGTGAACATTCGCCTTGCCTTGCCCAAGCGTCACAACAGGGGTCATCATTGTAGCAGTTGACGTTTGCAAATGGAACCGGTTGCTGAATCGAGAGGCTTTTTACCAACCACACTGGCTAACCTCAAGCCACTTGGGCGACTTAGATGAGAGTTCGACTCACCAAAGGTCGTATCGACGTGGGCGCAGGTGTCGTTTGCCGTCTCTGGGTGGCTGTGGGTTGAGCAAATTGTGCTGTCGATTGGAATTGCTGCTGCTGGAATGAGAGACTTATAATGACCTCTACTGTATTGCAGTTGAAGCGCTATCCTACCTGCTGCCCGGGACGGCACCAGCCGGCCACGCACACTCCACTCCAGCACGAGTCCAGACCTTCAAATCCACGGCAAAGACCATTTGGTTTGAACCTAGAAGACCTTTCCTTGACACAACGTTGGGCTCTTCGGCCTTTATGGCTTTCTGCTGTGCAATCCTACCTTGGCTACGCAATGTGGGTTTCCTCCGAGTGTCACAGAACAGATACGGAGAACCACAGTTGGGATTCTGCATCGAACAAGTAGGTCTTGCCGCGTATGTGTAGAGGTAGTCCGTGTATTCATTGGATAAACCTCAACAACGAGCTTTCAGAAACCGTCATTTGGAAAATATTCTTATTGAAGTGTAAAAAGTACTGAAGAAATTCGCATACCGTCACGGTTCTGTTTGTCCCACGGTCTCATTTGAGCATAACTGAAGTGCTGAGAATTGGCACAGGTGCCGATGTCTGGTGGGTAGGCCTAAAATGAGTGTTTTAAGTTTATTGAAGGAGCCACCAATTTCTTGTGACTCAATGCGGGGACTTATTAAGGAATGAATGGACCTGATCAGAAGGCCTGCCCACTCCACAAAGGAGAGCAAACCACATAGCAGGAGCCCATACAGTACTTGAAGTCACTTGGTACTTCAATTTATATTAATTAATGATCAGTTGTCCGAAGTCCGACAACAGCTGTCAATATCAACAATCCAGTGATGGTGAACCAACTATTTAACCCTAAAGGTGAACAACTAGATGGACGCAGGGTCCTGCAAAGGATTTGCACCCCTCAAGTGCTTACGTTTTCAGCTTCTTTCGACAATTATAGTTTGAGCTCGCTTCCCAAGGGGCGCTTCATAGCGGGCAGAAGAACTGGGCACGCCATAACAGTCGTCGAGCACGACTCCACTCCACTCAAGTAGTACCCCTTCCTCATCTAATAGTGCACCTTCCCAACCTCTTAACTCTCTTTATCCCTTCATATCCTTCTGCCTACCTCCCACTTGCGAATTTCCTCGAGAATTTCCCTCTTCTCGCTTCTTTATTGATGTACAATGTTCGCAAGAAATGCTATGCATATAGCTATGACCTTTCAAACCTCCAACGTTAGCCGTCATGCACGGCGCATCCCGAGGTTGCCTCTGCGACTTTGAATGATGCTTTCTCTGGAGCTCAGGATTGTGCCATAGTAACACACACAGGGCTTGTGATGGATTTTTCCAAGGATATTTCTCGACAGCACTGACCTTTTCAGCAGAGGACCTAACTTAACCCGTGGCTCGAACAAGACCCCTACTGCTTGCACTAGGAATAACTAAGGGATGATTTGCTCTGTTCATCATGATGTTCCCTACTTGTACCTGGATCCCGTTCATTGCTGAATTAGGTGATCTCTCGGCTATCCTTCGGGTAGTTCGCGCTTGTTATAGGTCATTTCTATCATTCTTAGGTCATCGAGTTTGTCGCTGGGTTCTTGTTTCACGCGCTATTAACCCCGTTTCTAGTTACCCATTAAACTTATCGGGGATATACTCATCGAACAACTGTCATGAGTTTATAGCCATTCATTCCGGCGGAGAGATACTTAACCTCCTTCAAAAAGCATCAGATAACCAGCGAGGACTGGACTGCTGTAGCAGTTTCTTCTCATGGGTAATGGAAGAGTTTATTAGCCCCAAAAAATACCTGTTTTCGGTTTCTGAGGACAAGACCATGGACAAGACCACATCTTTTGGGGAACAGAGCTCGTAGGCGTGTTCAGAAATGAAATTCTGTGAGTTTTTGGGCGTTTTCTCCACATTCGGTTCGAAACCCGTGACAAAGGGTAATTCAGTAGGGTGTTACATTTCCACTTCTAACGATATTGGTCTTGTAACCGGTTTTTGCTTGCAAAGAAGTAGTGTTTGAAGTGGTTAAAAAAACTTACAGTTTCACGTGCAAATCGATTTTGTCGAGTTTGTCTCCACATTTCCCAGATGAAGTCGACAAAGCAGTGGTGCAAAAAGAAGATGGGATCGTTGGCAGAAGTACTGGGTGGCTTCATGTCACCGCCGATCCATAGATGAACAGAGGAGTGCGTGTATTCCAAGGCTCCAAAGTATGGTCGGAATGGGCATCCTGAATGGAAATATTAATATCATAGAGAATTTCCGTGGTAATGATGCATTAAGTGAGGCAGAGCTGATCTAGTGGCAAGTGGCAAGCTTGCCTCGCGCTCGGTCCGGGATCAAGTTCCGGATTGGCTTCCATCCAATCCACTGGGCGTCCTACCCTACGCGGACGGTAAATTGGTACCACA